AGCAAAATCTATATTCTTCTCAAGCTCACATGGACCATCTTCTAGGAAAAATATGCTAGGCCACAGAACAAGTTGCAATAAATTTAAAGGGATCAAAATCATATAAATCATGTTCTTTAACCATAATGGTATAAAATTACCCCCCCAAAAAGTGCCCTGGCTAGCATTGCTCAATGGTTAGAGTGCCTTCCTGGGCACCAAAGGGTTGTGCCGGGGTCCAACCCCAGCGGGTCCAGGGGTCCCCAAAGGTGGGGACGGAGTTGGCAAAGAAGGAATGACACGGAGGCAGCGTTTAGTTGATCAGCAGCCTAGCCAGGATCTCCAGCCAGGATCTCCAGCCAAGTTCTGGTCTGGATCTCCAGCGAAGTTCTGCTTAGGATCTCCATCCAGGTTCTGTGTCCATGTTCTCTTGCTAGGTTCCCAGGTTTTCCAGCCAGGTTCTGTAGCCAAGTTCCCTCGCTAGGTTCTCCAGCCAGGTTCTGTCCAGGTTCTCCAGCCAGGTTCAGTTACCAAGTTCTAGTCAGGTTCTCTTGCCAATTTCTGTAGTCAGGTTCAGTCCAGGATCTTTTGCCATGTTCTCTCGCTAGGTTCTGTCTCTAGGTTTTGTGGCCAGTTTCTGTCCAGGATCTTTTGCCATGTTCTCTCCAGCGAAGTTCTTCTGTCTCTAGAGAACGTTCTGTGTAGGTTCTGTGCCTAGGTTCTGACTCTCCTCGTTCTGTCTTCTTACATCTGTATTTATACCAGTTGATTCCAATCCTATCAATCTCTATTTCAAAGGTTAGGGCGTTTCTTATCTCCATTCCAGGGAGTAAAGATTATGTAGCTTAAGCATGATTGTTCGTAGTTAAAGTGATTAACTACCCGCCTGGCACTTAGTTAAGGAGTTTTATCCCCTCCCTGACTTCAGGGAAAAATCCCTACCTGGGGAAACAACCTTTCTCAGAGAGGAGACCTTGGTTAAAACACATAGTGCCAAGAAGGTTAGCAAACATTTTAAGAACAGTATGCCATATATGCCAGCTCCCTTGAAACAGCAAAGATGGACCGGCTCCCGGCAAATTCCCCCTTTTTTATTTTTTAAATGCAGGCACTAAAAAGAAAAACCTGAAATGCTCTCTTGTATCCATTTTAAGAGTAGGATTGGCGCTTTCCGCTATTACCTGAGTCCTGATCTATCACCCCAGGGAGAGCTTGCCAATCCTGCACTTTCCCGGGGTGGAAAGGCTGCAGTGGGGTTAAGGATAAGGCTCCTTGGGCCTACCTTCTCCCATGCCTCTACATTTACCTTTCGGGCACCTTTCCTTCCTCAGAAAAGCATGGACGTATTTCTTGTATAAAATGTTCCATCTGACTGGGAGTAACCTTAATTCCTCTGCTAGCAAGCATATGTGTTAAAAGATCAATACAGAGTCTTTTTTCTTTGGACTCAGTATGGCACAACTTCTCAATCTAAGTTCTGTACTATCCACCTTCTTACCCTACTTATCCTCTATAGGGGGGTTTGCAGCACCCTGGTGGAGTCCTATCCGTCCCGAATGTGGGGGTTCTCAATGGGGAGGGGGCTTACCTAGGGGAATCCTGTTCCAGGGGTTCCCAAAGGTGTGGACGGAGTCGGCAAAGACTATCCACCCTCTTCCTACGGTGGAGTCCTATCCGTCCCAAGTGCGGGGCGCTTACCTAGGGGTCCCTGTTCGGGCGCCAGATGCCGGGGTCCAACCCCAGCAGGTCCAGGGGTCCCCAAAGGCGTAGACGGAGTCGGCGAAGAAGGAATGACACGAAGACAGCGTTCAGTTGATCAGCAGCCTAGCCAGGTTCTGTAGCCAGGATCTCCAGCCAAGTTCTGGTCTGGATCTCCAGCGAAGTTCTGCTTAGGATCTCCAGCCAGGTTCTGTGTCCATGTTCTCTTGCTAGGTTCTCCAGGTTCTCCAGCCAGGTTCAGTCACCAGGTTCTAGTCAGGTTCTCTTGCCAATTTCTGTAGTCAGGTTCAGTCCAGGATCTTTTGCCATGTTCTCTCCAGCAAAGTTCTTCTGTCTCTAGGTTCTGAGTAGGTTCTGTGTTCTAAGTTCTGTGTTCTAAGTTCTGTAGGTTCTGTGCCTAGGTTCCGTCTCTCGATTCTGTGTAGGTTCTGTGTCGAGGTTCTGAGTGTAGGTTCTGTCTTCTTCTGTCTGTGTTCTAAGCTCTGTATTCTAAGTTCTGTGTTCTAAGTTCTGTGTTCTAAGTTCTGTGTCTTGCTGTCTTATTACAACTGTATTTATACCAGTTGATTCAATCCTATCAATCTCTATTACAAAGGTTAGGGCGTTTCTTATCTCCATTCCAGGGAGTAAAGATTATGTAGCTTAAGCATGATTGTTTGTAGTTAAAGTGATTAATTACCCACCTGGCACTAGTTAAGAGGTTTTATTCCCTCCCTAACTTCAGGGGAAAATCCCTACCTGGGGAAACAACCTTTCTCAGAGACCTTGGTTAAAACACATAGTGACAAGAAGGTGAGCAAACATATTAAGAACAGTATGCCATATATGCCAGGTCCCTTGAAACAGCAAGCATGGACCAGCTCCCGGCAGGGTTGCAGGTTGGATTCCCGATCAAGGGCATGTACCAGGGTTGCAGGTTATTCCCTGGCCCTGGTCCAGGTATGTGTGGGAGACAACCACTCAATGTGTCTCTCCCACATCAATGATTCTCTTTCTCTCCCCCTTCCCTCCCTTCCATTCTCTTTAAAAAATCAATGGAAAAAATATCCTCGGGTGAGGATTAACAACAACAACAAAAAGATAGGAAAATTTAGGATACTCACAAATATGTGGAAATCAAGCAACACCTCTCAAGTAACCACGGAACAAAGAAGAAATCACAACAGAAATAGAAAATAACTTGGGATAAATAAAAATGAAAATATTACATACCAAAATGTATGGAATGTGATTGAAGCAGTGCTTGTAGGGAAATTTATACCTATAAATGTTATATTAAAAAAAGAATAAAGATCTTGCCCTGGCCGGTGTGACTCAGTGGTTGGAGCATTGGCCCATGTACCAGAGGGTCACGGGATCGATTCCTGATCAAGGACTATATCTGGGTTGCAGTTCAATCTCGGCCCCGGTTGGGGCTCTTGTAAGAAGCAACCAATCGATGTGTCTCTCTCACATAGGTATTTCTTTCTCTTTCTTTCTCTCTCTCTCCCTCTTACTCTCTCTGCCTCCCCCTCCCTTCCATTCTCTCTAAAAATCAATAGAAAAATATCTTCAGATGAGGATTAACCAAACAAACAAAAAACATAGTAATAAAGATCTCATATCAAAAATCTAATCATCTACCTTTAAGATGCTAGAAAAAGGGAAGCAAATTAAACCTAAAGCAAGCAGAGGAAATGAAATAATCTATGAGAGTAAAAAATTATAAAATAGCCCTAGCCGGTTTGGCGTCCGACTGCAGACTGAAGGGTCCCGGGTTTGATTCCCGCAAAGGGCACATGCCTTGGTAGCAGGCTCAAACCCCAGTGGGGGGTGTGCAGGAGGCAGCTGATCAATGATTCTCTCTCATCACTGATGTTTCTCTCTCTCTCTCCCTTCCTCTCTGAAATCAATAAAGAAATATATATTTTTTTAAAAATTACAAAATAGAGAAAAATTGATGAAACCAAAAGCTGTTCTTTGAAAAGGCCAACAAAACTGACAAACTTGTCCTGGTAGTTGTGAGTCAGTGGTTAGAGCATTGGCCCGCACAACAAAAGGGTGGGGGTTTGATTCCCAGTCAGAGCATATACCTAGGTTTCAGGTCGATCCCCAGTTGGAGCGTGTATGGAGGCAACCGATCGATACTTCTCTCTCTCTAAAAATCAAGAAAAACATATCCTCAGATAAGGATTTAAAAAACGGAATAATGGGGCATCACTACCAACCTTCCTATATAATAAAAGCCTAATATACAAATTGTCCGAACTGTGGAACGACTGGTGGAACAACTGGTTGCTATGATGCACACTGACAACCAGGGGGCAGATGCTAAATGCAGAAGCTGCCCCCAGCCCGCAGGCCCCAGGCCAGCCAAGGTGGGTGCCGGGGGGGGGGCCCCCATCACCCTGCCGGTCGCCCCACAGATTAGTCCTGATAGCTGGCCAGGCCTAGGGACCCTACCTGTGCATGAATTTCATGCACCGAGCTTCTAGTATAATAAAAAAAAGGAAAAGGGAATGATATGAACAACTGTAAGCCATAAACTACATAACTTAAATGAAATGGAAAAATTCTAGAAAAACACAAACTTCAAACTGACTGAAAATGAAATCTGAATAGACCGATAACAAGAGATTGAATTAGAATTTTAAAACTTCACACAAAGAAAAAATCCAGGCAAGATGGCTTTATTAGTGAATTCTACCATACATTTGAGCCTTGGCTAGTGTGGCTTAGTCCCGTGACCCTCAATACCAATTCTTACAAACTCTTTCCAAGAAACAAAAGAGAAGGAAACATTTCCCAGCTCAATTCGGTGAAGCAAGATACCTGATACCAAAAACAGGTGAAGACATTACAAGAAAACTACAGACCTATATCTTAGATGAATATAGACACACAACTCCACAACAAAATATTAGTGAACCAAATACAGCAATGTGTAATATAAAGGATTATACACCATGACAAAATGAAATTTATCCCACAAATAAAATTAATTGCTTATCTGCAAATCAACCTTTCTTCGAATGCATTGTGTGCAAGGACCATAATTTATTCATCTTTAAATCCTCAGTCACCTGCCAATAACTAATGTATGTCATTCTCATTATAAATAGCACATCCACACCCACCCCACTTTTTATTTCTTTAAACTGCGTTAATTTATTTTTTGTGTCTGGCATTATGTGTCTATTTTCAAATGCTTAGTGACAACTTAACACTTTGATATATCTTCAAAATACTTGTTCAGTTAATGATAGCAACTACATAAATTTTAAAATTCTATGTCAATTCCTAAGATGCAAGACATTACCCACCTGAGTTCTTCAGGTTTTGCTGTACCTGCTGACAGAATTTAAAAAAAAAAAAAAAAAAAAAAAAGTCCCATTAGTTTGTTCTTAATGGTAAACTGCACCACTGTTCATAAAAGCAAGCCTGAACTAAATGTTTTGTAAGCCATGTTTCCCAACCATAGATTTAAAAACCTTCATTTCACATCATTAAAGTCAATATGAAAATTACTTCCATTTTTTAAATAAATAAAATAAGCGTATATCTCTTCTTTTAAAACAAAACCATCAGCAAGCCTTCTAGAGTGAGCTGAGTGACAATGGAGCATTGTCAGTTCAAAATAACAGGTAACTTAGAGGTTTTTTTTTGTTGTTTTTTTTTTTGTTTGTTTGTTTTTGGTAACTTAGAGTTTTAAACAATCACAAATTGTTTAAAACTGGGGATCAAGCCCACAACCTGGGCATGTGCCCTGACCAGGAATTAAATCAGAACCTCTCAGTGCATGGGATAATGCTCAACTAACTAAGCCACACTAGCCAAGGCTCACTCTGTATCTTAATACAAACTTAGATTTGAAACCAAACACAAGTTTTAGTTTCTTTGTCAAAGTAAATCATGCTTGTTATTACATAATTAAAGTAATTTACTGGAAGTAACATTTATGAATTTGCAAATGTCTATGATAAATATACAGTGATTAAATTTATTATCTAATAACTGTTATTTCACAGAATCCTTAATAATATTATAATATCATATAACATAATCTTTACTTAAAATTGATTCATCACTTATCAATGTCTTTAAAAGTTCCTATGGGGATTTTAAACATTATTATGAGTGAGATCTAAAAGATAAAAAGGGAAGAAAAATGTTTTTCTACAGAATAACTAAAACAGTTAATACGAACAAAAAAAAAATGAACACAAACTTGGTATGGTGTTTAAATTGGGATTATCATAAAATTTAATCTCAGCAACCATGTAGGCTTTTTCCCTTTGCATTTTATTTTATTAAATTGATTATGCCTGAATCAAATTCAATAAATGAAGAATACTTTAGTTGACTCGAACAAACTTAAGAGTCAGACAACATCCTCTCAAGTAAACAATACCAGTACCAACAACATGATAAAGTGACAAGAAAGAACAGTCCTTTGAAACAGGGCTGCATTCACCTTGCATCTGTAGAGTTCGTCGAGAATATCGTTTGCTGGGCCTTCTTTCAAAGGATGTTGATCTTCTTGCTTTATTGGTTTTCGTGGTCTGATACTCAGTTTTCCCACTAAAATAAGTAAGATAATAACAGGAATAAGAAACTTCAAGACCTACAGTAATCAGACACATAAGTGGGAGAAAGTCTATATTGGGATTCTTCTTTAACCACCCTGAATCTCATCCTGAGGGAAGTGCTGCTAGTAATAGTCTTGATGTCTCCCTTCACGACATCATTCTTTCACTCTTAGGTTTGTGTAAAATATGCAACACAAAAATTAAACGTAATTTTTTCTTAAGCATGCGCATCACCTAAGAACATACTAAAAAGTTCTAATTGCAATATAGTTTTCAGAATAATTTTCCAGAAATATTTAAACTATTGTCCCACTGTCCTTGACTTCCTTTTAAATGGTTAAGAAAATGCCTCCCACTTTTAATATAGATAGAACAGAATGAATCTCACAAAATTATCTTGCCACATTATTTACATTTCCTCTTTAAAACCATACTGACTGATTCTCATGGCATGTTGAAAACTCACAATTAATAATATACTCTCAGGTAAACCAAAATATTCCTACTTACAACCAACAAACAAGGAGTCTAGAATAATAATGGCATTTCAGGTTTATAAAGGGTGAGAAATGTTATCCAAATTAACTTCCCAATCAGCACAGGATACCTTTTCTCTATATGGTATTCAGTTGTTGGATGAAGACACCTTAACGCTCTTATATGGATTTAAACTGGAGGCTAATTAAGATATAAAGTAAAGGTCAACAGGGATATAAAATCCATTTCAGCATTATAATGTTTCCTATCAATTTTGGAAATTTAACAACATAATTTCCTGTCTTTTATTTTGGCCAATCGAAAACACTGGCAAGCCACTTTATTTCTCTGTGCCCTAGTTACCACATCTATAAAATGAGGGTTTGGCCTGTTTTGGCCTCTATGAAAGAATGAAAGATATAGCAGAAAGCTATTAACATCAACCTATATCTAAATCGTGATCCTAGTCGGATAAATCCTGATCGCTGAGAACCCTTTTGCACAGGGCCTCGGAGGCGGAAGAAGGCATGGTGCTCCACAGCACATTTCCACAAATGCTTGCACGCCTTTGGATGGTCCAGTCTAAAGACAAATGTGTGTTCCTGCTCTTTGCCCTGAAAAACAAAAGGATGCAAAGAGAGGTAATTATTAGGTCAGACATTCCTATCCCTTACTCAGCTACAAATGCAACCCCAGCAATACCAAGAATCAATAAAACATCTCGCTTGCTCTCTGAAACTCAAGAAACTCTTCATAGCCACCTATATAAAAAGGAAGAGCTGAAATCATTTTCTCAGCCAAAATAAAATTATTCCTAAAAAGGTTCTCTCTACCTATATGACCTCATTTCTCAGAGATACATAAAATGAGGGTTTATCTACCATATTTTGGTATAAATACATAATAATTTAAAGACAAGATCTGGTAATATTTACCAACAGACTTAAAAATGTCCACATTCTTTGTTACTATAACCGTTCTCACAAGAATCCTATATAATCCTATAAAATAAAAGCCTAATATGCTAAGTGTCCGGTAGTCCATTCAACCAAAGTGGAATATGCTAATGATATGATAAGGCCACTCAACTGCTTGCTATGATGTGAACTGACCACCAGGGAGCAGAGAGTCAACTGGTCAACCAGTCGCTATGACGTGCACTGACCAACAGGGGGCAGATGCTCTGACCAGTAGGTTAGCTTGCTCCTGGGGTCTGGCCGATTGGAACTGAGTGAGATGGGTTGGACATGCCCTGGAGCTCTCCCGCACCCCCTCCCCAGCTGGCCAACCTCCCATGTCCCTCCCCGGCCCCAATCATACACCGGTGGGACCGCTCGGCCCAGCCTGCACCCTCTTGCAATCTGGGACCCCTCGGGGCATGTTGAAGAGCTGGTTTTGGCCTGATGGCAGAACAACCGGTCACTATGACACACACTGACCACCAGGGGGCAGATGCTCAATGCAGGAGCTGTCCCCTGGTGGTCAGTGCGCTCCCACAGGGGAAGTGCCACTCAGCCAGAAGCTGGGTTTACAGCTGTTGAGCGTAGTGGCAGTGGTAGGAGCCTCTCCTGCCTCCATGGCAGCGCTAACGATGTTTGAGGGTTCCCGGTCTGAGAGAGGATGCAGGCCATGCTGAGGGACACCCTCCCTTCGCCCAGTGCATAAATTTCATGCACCAGGACTCTAGTCTAATGATAATAGTTAACATTCTTAGGCACTTTCCTAAGAATTTCATATGAATTACCTCAATGAGCAGATACTATCATTTGGCCCATTTCACAGATAAAGAAACTGAGACTCAAGAAATTAAGCCCAAGGTCACAAAGCTAGTTAAGAGAGAAAACCAGAATTTCAACCTCTCCATTCAGGCTCCAGAGCCTATGTTTGTAATATCTAAACTATGTTTCTCCAGATTACCTAAACAAAAAATTTGCACCCAAAGATTTTCTTCAGTCTCATTTATAATAGTAAAAACTGGCATACGTAAAAAAAACCCAACTCCAAAATAAAAGAAATAATCAAGTAAATACTGGTATATTTAAAAACTATACAACCCTAGCCGAATTGGCTCAGTGGATAAAGCATCAGCCTATGAACCAAAGGGTCTCCGGTTCAATTCCGTTCATGGGCACATACCTCGGTTGCTGGTTTCTCCCTGGCCTGGACCCTCATCGGGGCTCGTGCAGGAGGCAAACCAATCGATGTGTTTCTCTCACATCGATATTTCTCTCTGTCTTTCCCTCTTTCTCCCACTCTCTCTAAAAATCAATGGAAAAAATATCCTCGGGTGAGGATTAAAAAAAAAAAAGGAAAAACACTACACAAAGATAAAATAATGAATGCACTACTGTTTATTCATATTACAGAATACTACATATAGATTAAAATGAATGAACTAGATCTACATGGCTACACCTGTTTAGGTAAAATAAGCAACATACAAAACAGTTAACAAAACAAAACAACAATATATATATATAATATATAATATGTATATATTATATATATATATATGATTTATGTAAAATTTTAAAACAATTCTACCATGTCTTCATATTTGGAGAAAGAACAGAATGATACCCTTCAAGAATGGTGACCAGCTATGGGAAGGAAAGAGCAAGCTGGGGAGTTAGGCCTTAGTTATATCAAACATACCATTACCTATTTCTAAAAGATAATGCTGAAGAAACAATGCCAAAAATCTTCAATCTAAATGAGTGAAGTGGATATCAATTTATAATTTCTTTGTACTTTTCAGTATATTTAATTTTATAACTTGAACTATTTTGTCATTTAAAAACATTTTATAAACTCTATGTGCAGGTTCTTCATGACCTTGGTATAGGCAAAAATTCTTAAATTTTAAGACACAAAAAGTACTGACCACAAAAAAAATTGAAATCACAATTTTAATGTAAAATTTAAATTACATTAAAATTGAAATCCTCTATTAACCCAAAAGATACTATTAGGGGAGACAAAAGGCAAGTCAAGAAGCAGAAGATATCTGCAACACAAAGAACTAACATGACAAAGAACTAATATCTAGAATATATAAAGAACTTTGATAACCCAATAGAAAAATGAACAAAACACTTGAAAAGGCACTCCATAAAAAAGAATATCCAAATATCCAATAAATACAAGCTGTCCCAAAATAATGTATACACTGTAATAGCTGATAGCTCAAGTTTGAAAATGAAAGGTATTTTAATAAACACTGCCTTTATAATTATTTGAAATGTATATATACATTATAAGTACTGTACTTAGGAACAGTCATCAGGAGAATGCAAATTAAAAATAATTCTACTATCAGAATGGCTAAAATGGTGTTAGAGTCAGGAGAGTCCTTACCCTTGGGGGGCTGTATCTATTGGGGAGCACAAAGAAGATTCTATTATTCTGGTACTAGTTTATTTCCTCGTCTGGGTGCTGGTCATACAGATACATTTGAAAATTCAACAAGCAGTACATTTATATTAGCACTTATCTGAATGTATGCTATATGTCAATGAAATTTACCAACAAAAACTACACATAGAAAAAAACATGGAAAAATGAACAAACTCAAAGTAGGAAAACATTTCTATGACACAAAACCCATATGCCATAAATGACTGACAAATTCACCTATTTAAATTTTTAAAAATAAATGACAAAGATCCCAATAAGCAATGCTAAAAAACAACAATTAGGTAAGATATTTACAATTTATATGACAAAGTGCAAAACCTGCAAGAAAAAAGTCCAACAACCCAAAAGAAAAATGGGCAAAGGATATAAATAGACAGTTTGGAGAAAAGGAAACACAAATAATCCAAATTTATTAAAAAAAATGTTCAGTATCACTCATAACAGAAATAAAAATTAAACCTAGCATGAAATTCCATTTTTCACCTTTCAGATAAAATTGTTATAACTCCCGGAAAAGGTGTGTACACAGATAAATAGTGCAACATGATAGGCTCTCTCTATATCCATGACAAATGCACATACTGATTTGAACCAGCGAGTCCACCTCCAGAAAATTATGCTATAGATACTTGCCAATGTAGAAATTAATGTCTATATAGTGAATAAATGTCAATTACGAATTGATTAAATAAATTAGGGCACATCCTAGAACACTACAGTTTTGTGTTTTTAGTAAGAATGGAGAAGCACTTTATGTACTGACTAGATGCCTGGCCTGTGGGATTGGGCCGAAACCTGCTCTCCGACATCCCCCAAGGGGTCCTGGATTGCCAAAGGGCACAGACCAGGCTGAGGGACCCCACTGGTGGACGACTGGGGCTGGGGAGGGATGCAGGAGGTTGACCAGCCGGGGAGGGACTGTAGGAGGACTCCAGGGCATGTCCGGCCCATCTTGCTCAGTCCCGATTGGCCAGACCCCAGCAGCAAACTCTCCTACTAGTCGGAGCATCTTCCCCCTGGAAGTGCACATCACAGCGACTGGTCGACCGGTCAACTGTCTGCCCCCTGTTGGGTGGTCAGTGCACATTATAGCGACTGGTCAACCAGTTGACTGTCTGCCCCTGGTGGTCAGTGCACATCATAGTGAGTGGTTGAGTGGCCTTAGCATATCATTAGCATATTACACTTTGATTGGTTGAACAGATGACCTTAGCATATTAGGCTTTTATTATATAGGATATGGAAAAGATTCCCAGTTATAATATATAGTTGAAAAAGGGTAACAATAGTATATAAGCATGCAAACTTGTTTGAAAAAGAACTGATATACACATTTACTTGAATATATGTATAAAATACTTTAAAAAAGATATCTAAAAAGCCAATACTGTATTATGTATTAGATCAAATCTAAAAAGCCATCAATTGTAAGATGCAGAATTATTTTATAGCCCAATAACAAGTGTCATCAATTAAATTATGACTATATTCTTATCAAATAGGATTATATTTTCTTCTTCTTGAAGGGACTACCTTTAGATTAAATTATCATTTAATCATACATGAGCTTTCATAAAAAGGGCAATACTGGCAAAACATTACTTTTAAATGCAATATCTGCCTTTTCTGAGTCATTTTCAGCTCATATGTTGATAATATAATGATCATCCTCTGTGTCATCAAGAGATTTGTTTTTTAAGTAATCAATTACTGTCTCTATTATTTTCTTCCAGGCTGTGTGATAGGACAATCCTTTGTATGTACCTCAGTAATAAAACATTCAAAACTTAGCACTGTTACATCTAATTTTCAGAATCTTCTTATTTTAGGTTCTTCTAAGTAGTCCTTCTCACACTTCACTGTGTATGCAAATCTCTTTAACATTTTGCCCAATTTGTTTTCATCTATATCTATCTATATGTATGTTTTTTAAAATTTATTTCTTTGTATACATTAAAATTATATTTATTCACAATCCTGTAAGCTTTGACAAATGCACAGAGCAGCAATTTTCAACTGGTGTGCCACAAGAATTTTTAAAACATGCAATACCAGATTTAGTCAGGGGCACTTTTCCCTTCGATTATCAAATTAAAAAAAATGACAATAGCCAATACAATAGTTGCCCAGTGCAAATGAATCAAAATTATAACTATTTTTTGTCAGATAAGCGAAAAATACATTTTTTTGGTGTGCCACAGAATTTTAGTAGTTTGTGTGTCATGAAATGAAAAGATTGAAAATCTCTGGCATCAAGTACAGCACTACCACCAAAATCTGGATAGAGAATAGTTCTCTCAGTCCCCAAAATTCCCTGTGCTGTTCCTTTGTAGTTAAGCCTTCTTACTCCACCTAGTCCCAAATGATCAGTGATCTATGCTCCATTCCTATAGATTTCCTTTCCCAGATTGCCATATAAAATAAACTCACATAGTCATGATCTTGTGGATCTGCATAATGCATTTGAGTTTGAGTTGCACCCATGTTGTTGTGTATATCAATTAGGAACTAGATTTAACTGGCAGCAGGGGTGCGGGGGAAAAGGAAGGTAATTGTTAGTTTAGAAGGTTTTACTTTAAAATATTATTAGGTAGCCTGGCGTGGCTCAGTGGCTGAGCATAGACCTATGAACCAGGAGGTCATGGTTCCATTTCCGGTCGGGGTTCGTGCCTGGATTGCAGGCTCGATCCACAGTGTGGGGCATGCCAGAGGCAATTGATCAATGATTCTCTTTTATCATTGATCTTTCGCTCTTTCTCTTCCTCTCCCTTCCTCTCACACATAGTAATTTGTATACACATAGTATCAATGAAGAAACAAGAATAGTCTTTTATATTGTCTTTAATCTTAAACGCAGAACAACCATATTTTTAGAATAGTGTGAACTTAAGCGAGAAATTATTTAACTAAATTACTAATTATACTGAGTTCTTTGGGTCTATAAAACAACAAGAAACATTTCCCCTTTTAGAGATTTAAGTTACTACATAAATAGTCATTGTTACATAAGTAATGCAATACAATTCCCACCTGATCATCATCTTCTACCACCACCAGGGTTAATTTAGTCTTCTTAAAATCCAATCTAGTTATCTTGGGCCTGTAACAATATGAGAATAGTAGCCAGATTTAAAAAATGTCCTCTAAATTTTTTTTAAAATATTGTTGTTACTTCAAGCACATTAATCATCTAACTTCTGAACTGAAAATTGGTAAGGGTAAAATAAAATAAACATTACCTGCACTGGCCATCAAAAAGGCCTCCAATCTAAAATATAGCTAAGACAATAGAAAAAAAATTTCAAAAGCAACACTTCTAGCAAAACTGATGCTGCACATTTATCAGGCATTAAAAATGCTAAAGAGTGCTGGCTGGATGGCTCATTGGTTGGAACACTGTCCCACCCACCAAAAGGTTTCAGGTTCAATTCCCAATCAAGGCACATACACTAGGTTGTGGGTCTGATCCCCAATTGGGGTCCATAGAGGAGGGAACTGATCGATGTTCTCTCTCTCTCTCTCTCTCTCTCTCTCTCTCTCTCTCTCTCTCCCCCTCTCTCTCTCTCTCCCTCCCTCCCTTCCTCCCTTCCTCTCTCTTTAAAATAAAACATCTTCAGGTGAAGATTAAAAAAATGAAAAAATCCATATAAACATTTCATAGGCCCCAACTATGGTGTAAGAAATTCTCCAGGAACTGGATAAAGACTACAAAGCTTTTTAAAAGGCATAAAGGAAAACATATTATTGATTATTGTCTATAGCAATTTTGGTTTGAGGAAATACATTTTTTAAAATAATTTTTTAAACCTCATTTTATGACCCACTTTCCAACTCTATCTCCCATTTGAACTAAAATCCTAAACAGCCTACCACATTTGAACTCTGTACTTCTATGAACTGTAATGTCAAAACAATGCAACTCTCACTAATTTTTAAATATCACTTATGTAAAATATAATTGTAAAACACAACTTGTTTGCAAGAACTGTACTAACAGTAAGTAAGTGTAATAGGTGAAGGTGGGGGAGGATCTAGCACTTATTTAAGTGGAACCAATGCTTACATATAACGCCTACCAAGTATCAGGTACTCTTCTAAATGTTTTACAGGTATTAATTCAATTCATTCTCACAGCTATCTGTGAGGTGGTACAAAAGATGCTGTCTTTATCTCTCAGCCTAGAGCTGGCTATGAATCCTATCATCACCCCACAGGTCCAGTTGGAAGTGTAAGAGAATTAACACTCAAGGACTGAGTAAATAAATGCCCCAGCTCCCTCACCCAGTGAGGGGCAATTGTAAAGGTGTTCCATTCAAGTCTCTCAAAGAGTCCCTAACAGAGACACCTGGATGCAAAAACAAATGGAATACTATCTTCAACTTTTTAAGAGGAAATAATTTTCAACCTAAAATTCTATTCTCAGCTCAATTATCAAGAAAGCATAAGAATATAACATTTTAAGGTATCCAAGGATTCAAATAATTTACTTTCCATATCCTTTTATCAGGCATTTACTTGGGGATATATATATACACATATACACATATATATATATATATATTTTTTTTTTTTTCAGAAAAACAAAAGCAAAGAAAGGAAAATATGGGAAGAGGACACAGAATCCTAGCCGAGAAACAGAAAATGGAAGTCCCAAGATAAAAATTGTACAGCAGTTTGGAGAGCAAACAGTTCCCATTGAAATATAATCATTTCATATAGCCCTTGAGAATTTGAAAGAACTTAAGGAGACCACAAAGACAGGTAACTTAAAGAGATGTGTGTGGTGCTGTACATGACATTGGAGGAGGGGGAGCCAAGAGCTCTAGGAAAAACAAAAAGGTACATGGAAGGGAAATGTAATCCCACTTTGAGTTCAAGGATTTCAGGTTTGTTCAGGAAAAGGACAGAGATAGCAGTACTGCACAGATCTCTACTGAGGTGTTAGGACAGGCTGCACGATGGGAAATCCATCACAGCAGAACAGGCAGAGACAAATGGCACAGAGCCCCCACCAAGAAGGGGAAGAAGGTATGGGGACTGCCAGAAAAGAGGGGAATCAGAGAGGGGCTTATGTACCTAGGCAATGGCATTCAGCAGCAAGGGGGGAATGTCTGGGTCAGAGAGCTCTGAAAGGCAGTAGTGGTTTGGAGTCTTTTATAGCTACAAGATTTACCTTATCTATAGCTAGTAGTTTTTAGTGGGATATGCAAAGAAGACAGACTCTAAATGGCTGAAAATATACTTAACCCTGACCAGTGTTCTCAATGGTTAGAACATCAACCCATGCACCGAGGGGTCTGTGGCAGGTTCAATTCCAGTCAAGGGCATGTACTGGGTTGCAGGTTCCATTCCAAGCCCTGGTCAGGTTGTGTGCAGGAGGCAACCAATCAATGTGTGTGTGTGTGTGTGTGTGTGTGTGTGTGTGTGTGTGCGCGCGCGCGCGCGCACATGCGCGCATCTCTCTCTCCTTCCTTCCACTCTCTCTAAAAAACAATGAAAAAATATATTATTAGGACATACATAAAGCAAATGGACGTGTAAGAAGTTGAGTTTGGTGCTGAGGGCTTCGAGCTAACGGTCCTCACATGCTATGAAGAAGTAAACAACATTAGAGCCAATACACAGGGCCATGCTAGCCCACGTTTACACCACCAGTACACTGCTCAAAGCTGTGACACTTCTGACACAGACCCAATAATGTAAACGCTATTTTTTGATTTTCAGCTTTAGACAAAACCTGGAGAACTTAATTATGATTATGAAATCCAAGTTATACACAAATATAATTTAAGTTTGGATAATAGAAGTTGGGACACAGAAAGAGCATAGCTTAAAAGGAGACATAAAAGTATTAATATCTTCCTCTCACACAATAAGGAGTAGTGAGTAAAAAGACTGCCTATGGCAGTGGTCGGCAAACTGCGGCTTGCGAGCCACATGCGGCTCTTTGGCCCCTTGAGTGTGGCCACGAAGTTTCAATCGCACTGTACGTGCAGACCCGCATGTGGTATTTTGTGGAAGAGCCACACTCAAGGGGCTGCAGTTTGCCGACCACTGGCCTATGGAATAAGAAATAGCAAAAATAGTGACACTGAGGCAGGACAGTAAGAAGCTAGGAAAATTCTTTGGCAAGTAGAATAGGGAAACTGAGCACACAGCTGAACAAACTGGATGAGCAATTTACAAACAGATACAGGTCACCTCCCTACAGACAACAGCTAGGCCTCAGTTGTTTTTCAGCTCCAGGCCCAGGAAAGCAGCAAACCCAGATGGGCTATGCCAGGACCAGCTGCAATGACTAATGGCCCCCTGTCCTGGTGGACACCACGACCCTGAAGGGCACATCTGGGAAAGGTGATGTATAATCTGTGGAAGTCTCCCCTAAGACCTCCCCTAAACTCCCAGCCTTTGAAAATCCTCAAAACAAAGGACCCAACTTGTGCTCCCCATCCCAGAGCATACCCAAGCTTTCCCTTCCCCCTCTGCTTCCCCCGCAGGCATGTATCTTCTAAACCAGTGGTTCTCAACCTTGGCTGCACATTAGAATCACCTGGGAATCTTTTTAAAATCCTAATTTCTGGGCCTCAGGTGATTCTAATGTGCAGCCAAGGTTGAGAACCACTGTTAAACAGTAAGATTCCCCAGAGACTTGCAGCCAGGGGAAATGGGCAACAGCAGCTCTTCCCAGGCTAACCCCCTGCACCTGTCTCCAAAGACTCTTTCTCTCTGACTTTCCAGTGAGCCAGAGCAGCCCCACCTCAGCTCTCTTGTTGCTTCTTCTATCCTAAGCCCTTCCTTGTTCCACTCCCTCCAGCTTTAATAAATGTACTCTCAAAATCACCTGCAGGCCGGTCCTAGTAGAACATAACTACATGTGAACATTTAACATACCTAGAAATACATAATACTTACATTAGAACAGCAGTTCTCAACCTGTGGGTCGCCGACCCCTTTGGGGGTCGAACGACCCTTTCACAGGGATCGCCTAAGACCATCGGAAAACACGTATATAATGACATATTGTTTTTGTGATTAGTCACTATGCTTTAATTATTTTCAATTTGTAACAATGAAAATACATCCTGCACAACAGATATTTACATTAAGATTCATAACAGTAGCAAAATTACAGTTGTGAAGTAGCAACGAAAATAATTTTATGGTTGGGGGTCACCACAACATGAGGAACTGTATTAAAGGGTCGCGGCATTAGGAAGGTTGAGAACCACTGCATTAGAACATGTACTTTGACATACCTTGGAACTAATGGAAAATGCAGCTAGAAGAGTTTTAAAAATTGCCCCTGGGTTGTGAAACTAAAGAGGTAGGATTATGACAGGAGACAGTTTCAATTAATTTATAAACTTTTCAGAACTATTTGTTTTCCAAATTCTATTTTGTGTATTAACTTCATATTAAAATACAAAACAACAATAAATATCTTTGACACTGACTCTACTTACCAAAAAAATAAGCCAATTTTGGTCTCTCCTTCAAAAACAAGAACTCCTGTTGGGGTTAGTCCCAAACTATAGTCATTCCCGTCTCGAGCCTAATTTAAGAAACGGGAAATGTGTTAACTTATTTGCATAAAATAGGCTTCACATTTTCATACAATTGCTTAATTTTATTTTCACATTGAATTATATTAATTATTCACAGGTAATATTAATATGCAAGGTATTTTCAACAGTTAGAGTTTCCAAAACAACATTCTCAGGAGAATTAACGTGTACATTTAGTTCATTGAAACACTACAGTTTAAGGTATGTCTTCACTGAAAATAGTTACACTCCCACTACAACAAAAGCTCTTTCCAGATTCTTCTCACATTCTATTCACCACTTAAATCACAAATTTTGAAAAATAAAACTGCCTTTCTGGGAAAATTTAGCTACTCAAACTAAAAATAACTTAAATCACTATACCAGCTACAGTTTAACAAAGTCCTCTCAAGTTACAGATTTTCAACTTTGCTTCCTAAATTACTTTAATTTTTATAGAGCCTTCTTAGCTTACATGATATGAGACTTTATCAATGTGAAGTGAAAGACTAAAAAGTGGTTTAAAATCTTTAATAAGTAACAGCTTAAAAGAACAGACATACTTTTGGGAAATTTTGGTTGTTTCTCTTCTTTCTTATATTAACCTTTATGTGAGATTCTTAACATTCAGTATTTAATCTCAGCCTTTATAACCACCTACCTCAAGTACCTAGTACTAGCTCATACAAACCCCATAGCCTCTCTCACATGAAAAAATTTCAGTCACCTTGTATTTTGAAGGAATAAATTTTTTAATAAAAGTATCACAATATAATGCTTACCTTGACCACATGCATATCAACCCCATACATTTCTAGCCATTTGGCTTTATTCAGATAATTGGTTTCAGCTTGTGCTGGTGTCTGACCTCTGAAATAAAAAATAATATTTTTTTAAATAATAAAAATGTAAAATTAAGTCTATACCAAGTACAGAAATAGAAGAAAATATAAGATCACTATCATGGTGATGTTAAGGAAAGTGTGGTCAAATATCAAGTACCTGTATTCCTTCCATTTCTCAAAAATAGCCAACTCCATCTCTTCAGTCTGAATGGGCATGAACCTGAACTCAGTTACAAGTTCAGGACTATGCTCAGCAAGATCACAGTCACCAAGTTCAGCTACAAACATAAGTTTTACAAAGTTATATTTTGTTAACAAGTTTATTTCCTGATGAATCTTTCTTTAAAACCAATTTTATTAAAAAAATACTGCTAGGATTAGAAAGATTCTTTCTTAAACAACCAGGAATTCATAACACCCAAACCACTCCCAAAAATAAATGTAGCTTACATTTGTGATTTATCTGTCTATACACACAAATCACGTATTTCTGTTTGGTGGTGTATTTCTGATTAAATGTCTTCAATTTATTCAAATCTTATTATAATGCTTAACCTTTGAGAACCTCTTTCTAGACTTCCACAGAGAAATACATTTGACCTTATAATGAATAAATAAGAATATTTAGCAATCCTTAACACTTAGCTGGCATCAGTTAAGAACCTAATATGCAAAGAATGTGACATAAATTATTAATCCCAAAGACATAACAAAGAAAAATTGCTAAAAAGTATTTGGGGAAGGAAGGCAGTAGGAAAAGAACTGAACAATGCACAAACATATATGTACTCATCTGTGCTGAGCTCTGAACTGTGGGTTTGGGGGAAAAGGGAAAACATTCTAGTTTTCTATACTTAAAAATGTTTTCCTTTAAAATAATATTTTACTCATTAAAAATGAAAATATTTCCATTTTTATTTTAAAAAATCTAGCTGTGGAGAGAAAAAATACATGAGAACTACATTGAGATAATCATACAAATGATAACATTATTTATTGAGCACCCACTCTAAACACATATTATAAATATATTGTCACTTAACTTCCTTGAAGATTTTATTACACCCTTTTATTGCTGAAGAAATTGCTCTTTTGTCTGGACTATAGTGACTTTAAGGAGCTCTAAACCAAATCTGCTATATAATGTTGTTTAGAATGTTTACTAAAATGGTTCAGAAAAGTGAACTTGAGAGTATGAGAAAAAGCTAATAACTACCCTAATAAAATATAAAATCATAAATGAAACAAGAAGCTCCTTTTATGAAGATGGAAGTAATACTTCAGCAAATTTATTTTTAAGAACCTTAAGAATTAATAGGATTTGATAAACTATTAGGCAGGAGACAAAGAGAGATGCATAAGACAAAACATAAAATTTTTTTTTTTTAAATATATTTTATTGATTTTTTACAGAGAGGAAGGGAGAGGGATAGAGAGTTAGAAACATCGATGAGAGAGAAACATCGATCAGCTGCCTCCTGCACATCTCCCACTGGGGATGTGCCCGCAACCCAGGTACATGCCCTTGACCGGAATCGAACCCGGGACCCTTCAGTCCGCAGGCCAACGCTCTATCCACTGAGCCAAACCGGTTTCGGCCAAAACATAAAATTTTAAGAAATCCAAACTAATGGTGCCATGGATGAAAAGGTCAAGAAAAAATTTTATTTAGGAAAGAAATATAAGAAGAATTAAGAAATAATGTATTAGTCACATGTACCAATCAAACATTAAGTAATTAGTAAACACTACTCTGAATAGTGTTTTATTAAATACACAAAAATGTATAAAAACCATATTTTCAAGAAGCATATACTTTGCTTGTCATGAAAATTACACAATATGACAAAGACAGACCAGCTGATGGAATATCCTATATAATAAAAGGGTAATATGCAAATTGACCCTAACGGACCACTGGGAACGAACGGTTGCTATGACACGCACTGACCACCAAGGGGCAGACGCTCAACGCAGAAGCTGCCACCTGGTGGTCAGCGTGCTCCCACAGAGGGAGCTCCGCTCAGCCATAAGCAGGGCTGACTGCTGCGAGTGCAGCATCAGTGGCAGGAGCCTCTTTTACTTCCTTGGCAGTGCTAAGGATGTCCCACTGAGGGCTCCCGGGCTGCCAGAGGGATGTCTGACTGCCAGCTTAGGCCCGATCCCCCCCGAGGAGCAGGCAGACATCCCCCGAGAGGTCCCAGACTGCGAGAGGGCACAGGCTGGGCTGAGGGACCGCCCCCCCCCCCAAGTGCACGAATTTTCATGCACTGGGCCTATAGTATGGTATAACAGATATTGAAAATGACAGCTCTTCAATAGATCAAAAAATTTTAGAATTAACAACTTCATATAGGAATCAATAAAATGTAAAATACGTGCTTTCAAGAAAGATGCATGCAGTTATATACTTCTGATTGTTACAATGCTAGAAGCATAGCATTTCCAAACTAGTATCGTTAATATTCTGCAGATGAGAAAAGTTTTAATTTGTAGACAGACTATGATAGTAGATGGAGATGGATAGGTAACAATTATCCTAGAGGCATATTTTTGAAGTTCAGAAATTTCGTCCATTCACAATCCTTCTATCAATAGGAAAATATGCTTTCTTAAATATTGGAAGCACAAAATGAGCAAAATATTAGGTTTATCATGAAAACATTAACATTTTAGTATTATTATCTTTACAATGGCAAATAAGTGCTACTGATCTTAGAGGGATTGGAGATAAATATAGAATCAGCCCCCTCACCCAAAGCATAAAATTATAATCAGAATATTTTTTTCCATTTTGTGAACAAGTACTGAAATTAATGTTTTATAAGAATTTCAATTTTTTAGAAGAAAATTCCTAAATTTAACACTATATGATTAATGTAACAAGGTACAAGATTTGAGTTTTTCATTACTCTCATTTACTGAAAAAAATACTTTTTTATCCTTAAAATAACCATCAGGAACTTTTCAATACATGCTAAGTATTTCTTTCATGTATTTGTTTTTAAGAATACTACTAAAAGCAAACCATATGGCTGTGGCAATTTTCTAATATATAACTGTGTTCTCTCTTTTTAAGGAAAAAAATAGCTGATGGCCAAATATAACATTTATGGAATTATCAAGTAGACTGTAATAATAATTTGAAAACTTATAGACAGAAAAAGCACAAATTAAATGAAAGGCACGAGAAAGAAGGCAATGTTCTAAAACTTGTGTAAGTAAAGTCAGAGTTGGATATTGATACAAATTTATACAAAATCAGTGCTGCTTCTCCCATATCATTTTGAATCTCCTGAAATTCTTTACCTAACCATACACTGAAAATAGTTATGCTTTACTCCCAATAATCAACATGAGAACTGCTTACCTTGCAGATTATAAGCTGCCAACTGAACTGCTGTATCAAATGGACACTCCAATCTGAGACCAAACACAATTGGTTAAACAATTTCACAACCTTCAGTTAAAGACAAATGGAAATATATACTTTATGCTGGCCATTTCTTTTTCATAATTAGCTATAAAATTATTTTTCAAAAACATTTTTAAACTACTCAAAGAAAATATGGTTTACCTTAAGCAACTAATACTCACTTTCCACTGAGAATATCTTGTCTTAATTGAAGAACAAATAAATACCTAAGAATAACAAAAGGCACAAATTTAACTGAAGTGAACAATTTTACCCTTCTAATTTGGAAAGAAAAATTCTTAATTATACAACTTTGCCCAAAATAAAGTCTATAAAAGAAAAAAGGGACAATAAGCATCAGGAGGATGGTAGCATGTCTGTAAGATGACAGCAAAAAACAGCCTAGCCGGTGAGGCTCAATGGTTGAGCGCCAACCTGTGAACCAGAAGGTCACAGCTCAATTCCCAGTCAGAGCACATGCCTGGGTTGTGGGCTCGATCCCCAGTTGCGGGGAGAAAGGAGAATGTCCAGGAGGTAGCCAATCTATGATTCTCTCTCATCATTGATGTTTCTATCTCTCTCTCTCGTCTCTCTTCCTCTCTGAAATCAATTTTAAAACATAGCAGGCACAGAATACATACAGTAGAAAGAAAAGATTTAAGGCAAAATACTAAGAATGAGCTCTGTGAACTGATTTATCTGTACTTTGACAATGCAGCCATCCCATATGTGAAAGGATACTAGCATGCATATAACTGAATATTAGCTATAATCTCATTGGCAGAGTAGTCAAGAGCAAAGTCCTCCTGAAGGGATTCAACAACTCAATATTTTACTTAATAAATAGTAAGTAGAATGAGTCATGGATTTGCAATATCATCTATTAAGAAATACCAGGAGGGCAAGAAAAAGTAAAAATAGGTATATATAACCTACTTAAAGTTTATTCAAAATTATTCAAAACAAATTAAAATCTAACATTTTTTATTAATCAATGGCATTTCAATAGGTAAAGCAAATCAGGAGCCTACTTGAATAAACTCTCAGTGGCCAAAGATAGATCATTTTGGACATCAATAAACATGGCAATGTATTTAAACACATCAGCCCCGTTTAAAATCCATGAGTTGATAATGACACTTAAAAAAAGAACCCACTAGTTACCTTTGGAGGATGCTAGGGAACTAACTCTTTATTTTGAAAACTGATTTAAAAAAAAAAAAAAAAGGAAAATAATCCTACACTTAAAAAGCACTATCCCAAATGACAGTCTATTGTCTGAGGTCTGTTACAAAGGCAAGGAATACATTTCATTAGCTATCTATAAACTGGAAAGAATTATGGACAATCTTCCAATATTTTAGCTAGCCTGACTAAACTTTACCCGTGTTCAACTATGTCTTACCGGGTTAGCTCTTCACGAAGATTATTTGGTTCCGAGGAATAAAACTTAACTCGAAAATGCAGACAATAGGGTGAACCAACTGCCATTAAAAAAAAGAAAAAAAGCTTTAATTTTTATAACTATTTAAATAATAAGAATTTACAGTCAGTAAATCTGTCAAAAATCCACTGAACTGGGGACAAAAGATAACAGGTTTTAATATATTTCAGTTTACAGTGTAGGTTTGATTAAACCTAATACAAAAAGAGCTATCTTTTTTTGAACTATACCAACCATCATACAGTACTATTATAATAATCTGTCTTCCTAAGAATAGATAGCTCTAATTTAATTCTAACAGTTCAGGGCCAATATCTATCTATACTAATAAAAGGGTAATATGCTAATTAGACCGGAATTTTTCCGGACGACCTTCCGGACAAAAGCCATGGTGGCACTACCGAGGCAGAGGTGGTTAGGGGCGATCAGGCTGGCAGGGTAGAGCAGTTAAGGCGATCCAGCTGGCAGGCAGGTGAGTGCTTAGGAGCCAGCGGTCCTGGATTGCGAGATGGATGTCCAACTCCCCGCAGGGATCAGGCCTAAACTGGCAGTCAGACATCCCCCAAGGGGTCTCAGATTGGAGAGGGTGCTGGCCAGGCTGAGGGACCCCTTTGCCCCCATGCACGAATTTCATGCACCTGGCATCTAGTATACATATAATAGCCTAAGCGACCGTTACAACCGATTGACCAAATGATGGGTCGACCAGTCGCTATATGCACACTGACCACCAGGGAGCAGACTCTCAACACAGGAGCTGCCCCGTAGTAGTCAGTGCACTCCCACAGCCAACCTCCCATGGCCAACTTCCTGCGGTCCTTCCTGTTGGCCAGCCAACCTCCCGAACCTCCCCGCCTCCGCCCCCGGCTGGCCCCTATTAGCCCTGATTGGGTGGGTCAGCCAGCCAACCTCCCGTGGGGAGGGATCCTGATCAGCCCGATCGCTGGCCAGGCCGAGGGACCCTACCCATGCACAAATTCGTGCACCAGGCCTCTAGTATTAAGTAAAAAAGTTCTGACTGAGCCCTGACCAGTATTCCTCAGGTTTAATTCCCAGTCAAGGGCATGTACTTGGGTTGCAGGTTGGATCCTGGGGCCCACTTGGGGCAAGTGCGGGAGGCAGCCAATCAATGTGTCTCTCACATTGATGTTTCCCTCCTCTCTCTCTCTCTTTCTTTCTATATTCCTTCCTTCCTCTCTCCCTCCCCCCTCCCTCTTCCTCCTCCATCTCCTCCTTCTTTTTCTCTTTTCTCTCACTCCTTCTCTCCCCCCTCCTCTGCTCTCTCTAAAAATCAATAGAAAAAGTATCCTCGGGTGAGGATTAACAACAACAAAAGTTCTAACTGTGCAATCTGACAGCCCTGACAATCTGCAGAGCTGTATTTCTTAAAAGCACAGAGGAACACTTATGTTATTAATTGTTCATGGCAAATCCTCCCATACACTTTCCAATTCACTTCACCTACTTCGTTAACATCTATATTTTCAGTGGTTCCATTATTTAGTAACGACAAGAGTTGCAATGCCCTGAAATCTGTTACTATACAGGATAAGGTATACTAAGGATTGAATACTAAGGTATTTTCCTGACTACTGATAGGAATAACACTGGCATTTTATGTGAAACGCTTCTTTTCACTGTTCTTAATTTTTTAAAAAGTTACAGCTTTGCCTAACTGGTGTGGCTCAGTGGTTGAGCACTGACCTATGAACCAGGAGATCACGGTTCAATTCCCAGTCAGGGCACATGCCCAGATTGCAGGCTGGATCCCCAGTAGGGAGCATGCAGGAGGCACCAATCAATGACTCTCTCTCATCATTAATGTTTCTATGTCTCCCTGTCCCTTCCTCTCTGAAATCAATCAATAAAAATATATATATATTTTTAAAGTCACAGCCTTAAAGCCTCAAAATATTTTTCACAAAAAGCTGGACAAATGCCAAACAAGAAAATTCCAACATAAGAAATTACTAAATAAAGGTTAAGCATCTCATGGGAACTTAATCTCATTTGCAAGCTGCAAGGCTTTCTCCTGGAAACAAACTGTAAGGTACTTCAATCTAATTACCATCAATCCTATATAATTTAGAACCAGTATTCCAGGTTTAAATTATTTTTAGAAAGTAGAAATGCTAAGAAATTAATCTGAAATGATTGTTAAGTCCTTACTATTAGAAATAACTTACTAATATATAATTATATATAATTCAATTTCTATTTTTTTCACAATTTTTTCAACACTTACTTTTAACTTGCTTTTTGATACTCTTTGTAACATCCAACCAATGCTGAAAACAAAAAAATACAGTTGTTAAGCAGATGACAGAACTTAGCATTTTAATTATTAAAAGTTAATTTTCATCATGCTTTTACTGTAATCACAAGGAAATATTTCACAAGAGAAAAAAGAGTGAAAATGAGCAGAAGGGTTATCTACACAAAATCCATAGTAAGCTTATGAATAGAAATGAGCAAAAAAAGACCTAAAATCAAATATATGACTTCTTAAAATATTACCTTTACTCTCAGTAACAAAGATAGTCTAAATTTTGCCCTTAGTTCTAAAAAAAAAAAAAGAGAGAGACTCACAACTATTAAAATTTGACAGAAGAAAAGTTATCTTCATGTTCCATATTCTTATAATAAAAATAAGATTTATTAACAGATCATGACCCCATATTAGGTGCAATAATAATGCCATGTCTATTATACAAAACTAGAGGCCCAGTGCACGAAATTTGTGCACAGGAGGAGGGTTCCCTTCAGCCCAACCTGCACCCTCTCCAATCCAGGACCCCTCGGGGGATGTCCGATTGCCGATTTAGGCTGGCAGTCGGGCATCCCTCTCACAATCCGGGACCTGACTGCCTGATCGCCCCTAACTGCCCACCATGCCAGCCTGGTCAACCCCAACTGCCACCCTCTGCCAGTCTAGTTGCCCCTAACTGCCCCCCCCCCCCGCCAGCCTGGTCGCCCCTTATTGCCTCCCCTGCTGGCCTGGTTGCCCCCAACTGCCCCCCTTGCCAGCCTGGTCACCCCACACAGCCTGTTCAGTCGTTTGGTCGTCCCTCACTAACCCCCCTGCTGGCCTGGTCGCCCCATGTAGCCTGCTGTTCAGTCATTTGGTCGTCCTTCATTAACCCTCCTGCCACCTGGTTGCCCCACACAGCCTACTGTTCAGTCGTTTGGTCGTCCCTCACTAACCTCCCTGCCGGTCCTGTCGTCCCAGACAGCCTGCTGGTCATTACTATTACTGTGACAGCATCCTGGACAATTTGCATATTCCTCTATTATTAGTATAGATAGACCTAGCCAGTTTTACTCACTGGTTAGAGTGTTGGACCACAGATTGGAGGGTTGTGGGTTCAATTACCGGTCAAGGGCATGTACCTCAGTTGCAGGTTGGAGCTTGGCCTGGGTCAGGGCACATGAGGGAGGTAGCCTATCAATGTGTCTCTCTCAAATAGATGTGTTTTTCTCTCTCTCACCCTCCTCCCTCCCTTCCATTCTCTCTAAAAATCAATGGAAAAATATCCTTGGGTGAGGGTTAAAACAAACAAACAAACAAAGACACTACTCAGAAGAGCCTGCACAATAAAATTAGATTTTTCTCATAATCAAGGCCATATTTATTAAGTGAAGCAGTCTTTGCCCCTCTATTTAACAAATAAAAAAATGTTAATATCGTAACTAGCATATTTCTGGTTTCATGAGTAACAGCCTTTTGATACCTGTAACCTCTTCACTCTCAAATGTCCATAATATAAACAGACCTAAGAACCAATTCCAAAGACTTCCACTCTAAACCATTCCCAGCTTACTTCTCCTGCATTAATCCTTTTACAACACCAAGTCCTAACAATGACAGGAGGCATGCATCCAACTAAGATATACATAATAGTGTTCTCTCCAGCATGCTTACAATTCCAAGAACCCTAAAGGAAAAGAGTGCTCTTGTGCTAACTAGTTCAGAGCGAAGGAATCCAGTTTCAGAAATCCAGATAGACAAAGAGTGGGTACACAAGGCTGCATTGTAAACAGACTTGTAACAATTTGCTTTTCTTGCCAATTATTTGCCCTAGCCTGTTCTCATTCTTTCCCAAGATCCAAAAGTAAAATTCACAGAACTACTAGAATGCCAGCAAAGTACCTCTGCACGTTGAAATAAGATGGTCAGTAAACATTTTCAAAGGCAATTAAATACTGTGCAATATTTTCTCTGGATTCCAAGTGTGTAGGCTACTTAGTTAGCTGTCTCTCGTTTTTTAAAAAATTCAGTCGGACTCCACATTTAAACATATTTCAATCTAACAAATGTTCAGTTTACATAGACCTCTATTAATAGAATGCTAGGCCAGCCAGTAGGCATAACATAATTCAATATATTAGCAGAAAATATAGGACATCAAAAATTCCATCCATCATGGTCAATATTCAATATCCAAAAATCCCAGATTAAACTATGCAAAATATTTACTACAGCCTGATGTCAACTACATACTAGGTGTGAAGTAAAATTAGTTTCCATGCCCCAGATTTTTCTCCCCACAACCATGGACCTAGGAGTTGCCCTTTCTTCAGGTTTTACCTATTATACTGCAACAAACAATTTTATGGTTAGTCACCTGGGCAGCCTCTTGTAGCCCTAGTTTTAGGGAGACTCTCATACACCATGAGTGCAAATTAGCACAACCATTCCAGGAGGTAATATGACAATAGCTTTAAAAAAATAATTATGAATGTGTTCTGATTTACCTACAAGGAATTACATCAGAGAAAGTTAAGACAATTTATATATCCAACAATACTAAACTGCCTACATAAAGTATTGCAATATAATAAAACAGCAGGCAACAATTAAAATGAATGCAAGCAAATACTTAAGATGCTAGAAAATTACTTACAACATACTTTTAATTTTAAAAGCAGGCTATAAAGTATTATAAATTATTTTTGTCAAAAGGTACAAATTTGTATATATAGTCATGCGCTTTCTTTTGGACTGAGACAATCTATAACAAAACAGTAACAGAGTTGTTATCTAAGTGGTTGAGATTACTGGTGGTACTTTTTCTTTGTTGTTTCCTATATTTTCAACTTACTCTACCAAGAGCACATATTACTTGAAACAATAATCATCGACCCCCTTACTTAAATATTTTATGTAACTAATATATTCATATCGTTTTATTTTTTTGGTAACATTAAAAGGTACATGGTCAATAGTCCTTCCAACATCTGCAACAAGCCAAGGCCGTCCCCCCCATATACCCAATTTCTATCATCACACTCACAAACATACCCCCCAAGGTGTTATTGGTTTCTGATTCTTTCCAGAATTTCTTCAAACAGAGAAGAAAAAACAGCTGTGTGTTTGTGCTGGTAAAGAGTAAAGAACATTAACAGCAGACTGACAATCAACAGGCTAAATATAAATTTTGGCAAAATAAACTTTGAGGAATATAAAACACATTAATACAAGACAGACCACTTACTATTTCAAGAACCACCTAAAATCTTTACTTAGACAATTATAACTTAAATTTCATCCAGTTTAAGAAATTTAGGGCTAGTCTCATAAATACTCCTTAAATCTCTAGTTTGTTTCCTACTAGTCTAAGCAGCACAGTAAACATAAAATCATCCCAGTGAGATAAAGGATCAGAGTTTTGCCCCAAGTAGGCATTTTAGTCTCTTTTCTACCTGCATGGAATAGCTTTCTAATATCAGGCACATCCCTGAGACAACCCAAAATTCAGATAAAGCACCAAACACATTTTAAAGTGAAATTTAGGAGCTGGGGGAGTTCTGGGTGAAGTTCTGGGGAAGGTCTGAGCTCATGTTTGTATATTCTCAAGTCTGTTTTCTTTCATCTCCTCCACATTCCAAGCCCAGGGACTGGAAAATGCAGAGCTCAGAGACAGGCACTGAGAGTAGTTTTCCTTGATTCAGGCTCTTTAGGAGTTGAGTTTAAATTACATCAGAAGATAAAGGTGAGAGCATGCAGATATATATATATAGTTTTGTATGTTTGGTGTGAAATGAATATGGTTCTCTTTCTTCATGGTACTTTAAAAACTTCCTTCTAATTTCCTACTTTTAAAGTTTGGCTGATAAACTTTTATGCCAAAGGATGTGGAAAGTCAGATTTCTTTTGATGTTATTAAGCTGGGCATGAAAGAACAATTATTTACTTGTATGTCTTAAAATATAAATAACATATAATCACAAACACAACAGACATAATTAAACCAAACAAAGAATCACCTAGGGAGCTTCCAAAACCCTAACATACACACACCTTCATACCAAGCACTATTGCCAAATAATCTGTAAACAGCTCTTCGAATTACTATCTGATTTCTAACTGCCTACATTACTTTGCTAAAGAAAAGCACCATATTTTGCTTAAAAAGGCAAGACCACAAAGCAGAGAAACATTAGTCATCTTTCAAAATAATTTCCTCTGCAAAAAATATTTCTCCTGTGAGTAGTAGAAGCTTATGTTCTGAGTTAAAGGACTGATTTAAAGCATATTTAAACATATTAAACAGTTAATAAAATTTTTTAAAAATCTATGCTATGAAAACAGAGGACCAATATATTGCATTGCTGTAAGCTAACTGAACACAATTCAATTTAGTGTAGATTCCATTCTAAATACTTCCTGAGTAATTACTTTTTTGGCATTAACAATTTGTGACATAAAACATTCTGAATTTATTACTAGTATACTCTCTTAGGATTCTTGTGGAAATGCAGGCAATTAGGTAGGATATAAAGACACTCTTCAGAAATAGAGCACATGATCTACTTTGGAAATACGTTTTTTACAGACCCTCCTCATTTAGCAAATGTGTGTGTTACAATATATACATATATATATTTAATATATTCATATTTATTTATATATATTTCTCACTTCCCACTAGTTTACTGAATCCTATTTGTGTTAAGTTCTCAGGTACAACCTAACGCAATCACCTCCCAACAGTGATAATTTTGCCTCCTCCTTTCTAACCTTTATAACATCAATAACTACATTTGCTTACTACTATTATGAAATTACACAACAGCCCTAATCGGTTTGGCTCAGTGGATAGAATGTCGGCCTTCGCACTGAAGGGTCCCAGGTTCGATTCCGGTCAAGGGCATGTACCTTGGTTGCAGTCACATCCCCAGTAGGGGGTGTGCAAGAGGCAGCTGATCAATGTTTCTACCTCTCTATCCCTCTCCCTTCCTCTCTGTAAAAACTCAATAAAATTTTGTTTTTTTTAAAAGAAATTAC